CGGGGTCTACACAGATACTGTACATGGGTAGGGTGAGGTCTAGGGATCGAACCCTGGGTACTGCATCCACTACTGCTAAAAGGTGAAAACCGTTTTAGACATATCCAGGAAAGTTCAAAGTGAGGATGCACAATCAACCCAGGGAAAATTCCAAGCTAGCGACGCTTGGATATCCTCCTCCTCACACTTGTCCTTCTTTGGCTGAATCTGGTCTTAACTGCATTCGTATACATCCAGTAAAGTCCAGTATGCGGATCCCCTGGTGCTCCTTTGAAGAACTGAGCAAGTACGTCTCGGGTCATTCTTGCCTATAGAGATATCAGTCGCCACGCAATCACTCAGTCACTCATACCATTTTCGCATCAATCATCCAGCCAACCAACTCCGGCGGAGGACAAAATAATTTCTGCACATGACAGACAGGGCTCTATCAGTTGGTGGCAAAAAGGGCCTTATGACTACGGGCCTCGCCACAGTACCCCCTGATTCGATGTGCCACAGTACCCCCTGATTTGATGTTTTCCGGAGTGCTCTCTTCACCATCTATGGTCCTGAGCTAGTCTCCCGAAGACGATTCGGGTGCTGTCAGAGAGGGCTCCTGAAAACTGGTTCCGGGGTACTCTCGGATTTACGTTTTCACTCCGGACTGAGTCTGCAACGAGCTAAACCCAAGAGACCTCCCATCGACATCCGAGTTCCGATCGCAATTCAAGAGGATGCAGCGGCAACGGAGGGTTTCGCATGTAGTGTGGGGAGTGCTCTCCAATTCCAGAAGCTTCCATATCCCACCTTTCCAGGCCCATTCACAATTTAGAGAGCAGGGGCTTCGCAACACCACTCTCAAAAAAACACCTCTGTGGACGCCCGAGTTTGAGAGTGCCTGGCTCCGAGAGTGAGTGTGGCGAAGCATACTCTCGAACAGTTTTTCGCCTCTTTTGACATCCACGAGTATTCCGGGAATTATTTTCCGGATTCGGAAGTGGCGTGGCAAGGCCCTATGGCTATGAGGGGGGCATACTCACACTACGACTTTTTCTACTACGCTCTGGACGTGATTGCCGTCAGATTCATCCAGGTCTGGCCACAATGAGGGATCTGCTGCAAAGAGTCTAAGCCCGTCCAGATTCAGGCACTTAATCCAGTCCTCTTTGTGGGTGGGACCTGGCCCCAAATGTCGGAAGCCTTCCCGTAAGCCACTGGTATTACTACCCTTTTTTTATCGGAAAAATTATACCTTCGTTGAGTACAACATGAGGCCGAGGTCGTCGCAGTCTACCCAACGCAGGGCATACTCACACTACCAGTAGCACTATCTTTAATGCATCTGACCACATTAAACCACCAGTACCTCGCCCAGCTATAGAAAAATGCCGTGGCCACTAACGCGCAGAGACTTAACGGGGTGACCGTCGGGAAGTTGAAGGACCTGTAGGAGCTGTTTTTCTTTAAAAAGTAAAATAACCCAAAACAAAAAAAAGAAACGAGATACCACTTCAAAAAACAAGAAAAGAAAAAATAAACAACAAAATTCAAGGGCGCAGGGAGGGTTCTTTCCCTCTCTCTCTCTCTCTCTCTCTCTCTCTCTCTCTCTCTCTCTCTCTCTCTCTCTCTCTCTCTCTCCCTCCTCCCCCCCCCATCCCCCCTTCCCGTTTCATTTCTTCGTTTTTCTTTAATTCTTTTTCGGAAGCACGTTCGTTTTCTTTTTTTCTTCTTCTTTTTTTTTTGTTTTTTGGTTTTTCAAAAATGAAACAAAACCCACTACCGGTAGCTCTAGGCTCGGCAAGGCTCGGCTTACCGGTAGCGAGAGGCTCGGACTTGATAGCTGGGCTGGTGGTTTAACGGCCAGACCTGGATGTGTCTACCCACAGTTACATCCAGAAATCAGCAAAAGAAGTCCTACCTTTGTCACCTGGATAGAATGCCCAGTCATTATAGCTGCATTTGGGACAACTTCCAGACCAGATGCGTTTATTCCGGTGAAGACGGTAGTGTGAGTACACCCTCAGCCTTAAAGTTTCTGAAAGCTCTGCACAGCATGACTACCTTCTTCCCAACTCTTCTTTCTCGAAAGCTGCACACAGTATGACTGACTAATCCTACCGAAACCATGGTTGCCCACGCCTCTGTTCCAACCGGTGCTATGTTCATGATATCAAAGCACGAACTTGGCCGTGAGGGGCGGCGAGGGGGGGGGGCGGGGCGGGGGCCGGGGCGGGGTGGGTCCTATCCCTTGTGACACCCCACCCACCCTTCCTCTAACCAATTCTCCCTGGCGCATGCTCACACGAGCACTCTCCTAGATGTATACAGCCACGCCTGGCTGTAATTGTCTGCAATCGCGTCCAGAGCTCAGTTGAGAAAGCCCTAGCGTGAATATGCCCCCGAGATGCCCAAGGAGCAAGGTGCCACTTCTTAGCCAGATTCAGTGAATATGTCTGTCCATCAATCCACTTGTGATCTACGGTCCTGACCGAGGAATCCATACTCTGGAATCAGAGCAATAGGGATCTTGGCTCATTAGGTCAGTATATATATATCGTCAAATAGAGCTGCCCGGTAAACCATAGGCAGAGAGGGAGAAGAAGACATATATATATCGTCACAAACAGAACTGCCCGGTAAACCGTAGGCAGAGAGAGAGAAGAGGACAACAAACGAGGGGCTGTGACAAA